ATATAAAACCAAAGAGAATGAAGTGTCTGGTTCTTTTTATACTAGAACACAGTTAATCTTTGTAGAACTGTGTGTCTAAAAGACAAACAAAGTCTGATGGCTCCTTCAGTATCCCTGACTGCCCATACCCAAACTTTGTCAAACACTTGTACTTCAGGTTGCTAATTTTTAATGCATCAGGAAAGGTCCAGGTAGCTCTGCTTTAGCCCAAGAACAAATAAGTCCTTTATCTGTGAAATCATTTTGGGTTTGGTTTTGAGGTTCCTTTCAGAAAATAAAAACAAAAACAAAAAAAAAAAACCACAAACAAGTTTAAGTGGAAAAACACAAAAGGAAGGCTGGAAGTTGGACTTCAAGAAAACTAGGAGAATCCATAGTTTGTGTTCATACGGAAGATTAGCAAACAATGATTACTGAATGCCTGAAAGAAAAATGAACAGGTAGTAACTTGTCTAATCCACTTTAATAAGGTGTTTCTATGTTTCTCTGTTGTTTGACTTCATGATCAATGACAAATCTTAATAATCATAGGCAAAGGTAGTTTCCCAATTTAAAGCAGTGTACCAGATTTTACCTTTTGCTTGTGTACCTTCCTGTATTTTTCCCAAAAGCAACAAAATCTTTCAGAATGAGTGAACCTAATGAAGAACTATCAGCCCAAATCTAGTGTAGACAATATTATGGTGAATGGCCTGGAAGTGCCGAAGCGCAATTACCAGAAATACTTTCCTTCCTTTCAGAATGACTACGAGAGTCTAAGCAAAAGTCTCAGCATCCTATTCTCAGACAAACTGTCCAGACCTGACACAGAAACTATTTTAATGCCAGCAGTGGCATGTATTTCATAGCTTAATACAAAATTTTTGATCTTTATTATTCTTTACTCTTGGAAGAGGGCCATCTAAAATAAAACAAAAACCAAAACCCAAAGAAACTCATGTTTTAAGTCACATTTCTATGAAAACCATAAAAAACCTTGTAGATTTCATACTTTACATGATATTACCAACAGTATTTAGTGAATGAAGAATTGTTGCATTGTCTTCTGCCATATGTTCAACAAACAATGTACAAAATTCTTAATTATTTGTTTATATATTTCTTAAACTGTTTAGCATGCTATCTGCCTACTGCTTGACAAGACATAACAAAGAATTGTAGAAACTATTAACTGAAAATATGTTAATCATACACATAAGACAGTTGGACAGTGAGAAAGGTATTGATACCAGTGCATGAAATTGTCCACATTTTCTTCTGCAAAAAGAAAAGTCTCTCAAAAAGCACAGTCAATATTTTAGTAATAACCTTCCTTTGTGTTTCAAAGTATGGTCCTGACTAGTAGCATCTATGTGCTATCAATAGTAAAAGAATAATGAGTTTCACCCTAAATTCAACCTAACACATTTTGTGTATTTCAAAGAAGCCACTAGCTGAGGATTAATGTTACTTAATTTCTCATTAAAAAGAAATAGAGGTCCTTTTAATGTGACTTGCTAGACGCTACTTTCGGTTCAGTATCTGAAAATACTTACAATGTTTTTCATGTTTCTGCATCGCCCCAGTCCTCCTAATATTTTTGCAATAAATATCTATGAGGAGGTACTTCTGTGTTTCATTTAAGGTTGCATCTGAGAGTCTCCTATGTATCTATTACACCGCAAAGATCTTTGCCTGGTCAGGAATCAATATCATCCCCATTTATAAAAAAGAATAGACACACAGAGGATGCATTTATTTTGTGCAGAGCAGGGTGATTTGAGGACATGACATAGAACATTGGTCTGGATCTTATGCTTCTGCATAAAATTGGTCACATTTACCTCAATGTGACCATTTCCATCACAACAGCCACCAGTGTTTGCAGTGTGACAAGCAGCATGTGGAGGTGACTGCCTTGTCCATCCCATGTGATGAAGTGATGCCTCTGGAAAGCCCTGTGGGATATGCCATATGTGACTGCACTGTCTGTACATCAGGAAGGCATGTATTGGCCTCTGTGCTCAGGGGTAGCATGGCTTCGAGTGTAACTTCTTTTTCCACCCATGGGGCAGCCCAGGAGTTCATGACTGCACCTTAGCATGCATCCTAGCAGTGCTGATCATCCCATTACACGCCTGATGAGCCATAAAACATCTCATAAAAACTCACACTAGTAACATTAGTCTCCAGCTGATTTCCTAAACACTGAACATTTTTTGTTATTACAGTTCTCTTTTTGTAGATCACCTGTATGAGAGACAAATTCTAGCTAGACAGAAAAACTGTGTACAGACTACTTTGAAATGCAGCATATCCAGACCTTCTGAGGGATCAGAGGATGATGCATGTATAGTTATGCAAGAACAGCATACTTTTCTCCCATGCAGCCAGCCATGAGAGTTCGTCAGGTACGAGGAAGGAGCAGTCTCTTAATCTGCATTGTGGAAGAGACTGTCGGAGTGCTGGGTAGGCAGCAAGAAGAGGCAAAGGAGTAAGTCATGGGCAGTCTGCTATTAACACAGCTTAAACACTTCCACTTTTGAGGCCTGGTACAAGCAAAGCAAGTGAATCAGGTGAAAATTAGCTCTGGAATGCTATTACAGTATATTTCAAGCCTAAAATAAAAAGAAAAATGAAATTAAACTAAATTTTTTGAAGATAAAATATTTGCCTGGCTACATAAAATGCTACTTAAAATATGTGAATTTAAAGGTCAGTTATGTTGTTATCTGAAAGTGCTCTATGGTCCTTGAAGTTATGCCTGTAATCAATTTAATAACAGAGGAAATTAAATGTTGCTATCCTGGAAACATAATAGAGAAAGACTGAGTCAGGAAGGTAAGTTCCCAAGACCTTGTCTTATGTAAAATGTCTTTGAAAAGGGAATCTTGCCTGAAAAATACCCCAACCAACCAAACAAACCCAAAACCCCAAAACCCCCAACAAATTAGTTTGGTAGCCTACCAAACATGACGTTAACTTATCAGCACTACCTAAATGTGTTTTCCAACTAAGAGACATTTTTTTTAAATGGTAGATCTGGGAGAAAAGCTGTCTAAAATTTTCCTTCCTCTTGGCATTAATTCAGAGCTATGCTTGAGCACGGGAATGCAAAAGGGTCCTGCACACTGAAATCCCTTTGTTATCCCTCCTGCAACAGGTTCCAGCACAGGAGTCTATGTGCCTCAGCATTTCAGGTATTTCAGGTGTTATGGAAGTCTGTTATACTCAGTATAACAATTCCCAAGACATAATATTAGATACATGGAAAAGGTTTTGCTGGGTAGATGGGGATCTCAGACCATTTCCAGGCACTTTACAGATACTTATTTTCTTCCTATTCAGGATGACTTTTCACACATCCAAGAGTTAAAAGCGACCAGGAACACGGCGAACAGGGCCAGCAAACAAGGTGCGGCATGGCAGTTTGCGCAGCAGTTCGCGCCAGCAGGGCATGTGGGCAGGGCGCAGTCTCCCAGCCCAAGAGGTAACTTCAAGTTCAGTTTGTGAGACGGAGCCTAGCCTAGCCATGGTATCCACCCAGCAGAAGGCTGCATGCTCTGCGCTTGCCAGAAAGAAGGTATCAACCCAGACTGAGCTCCCAGGAAAAGACACAATTGTCCAGGTCTCCAGCTGCAGGGAGTGCCACCGGCTTGCACTGGAGATTAATGGCAGCGGAGAGGACAACTCTGTAAGGTATGATCAGCTGGACTATCTACTTGGCCTGGTGGCAGAGCTAAGAGATGAAGCAGATATGGAGCATCAGTAAGTCTGAGCAAGAGATAGACTGGTAGAGCCATGCTCTCATCTCCCTGAAACCTGAACAGGGACAGCCACCAGAAAAAGGCTGTGATCAAAAGGATCTAGTATCCTCCCCCCACCAGCATGTAGGCAGGGACTTAAAGGGAAGCGGCGAGTGGAAACAAGTCTGCAACCGGGGTAGCAAATGAACCCTCCACTCTGCACAGCAGGTATGAGGCTCTAGCTGTGGATGACCTGTCAGTGGATAACGCAGGTGTTGATCCTGCATTAGAGGTGTTGCAGCAAACAGAAAGACGGCCCCTGTATTACACCACATCCACAAGGAAGAAAAGAAGGGTCATAGTTGCAGGATACTCTCTTCTGAAAGGAACAGAGGGTCCAATATGCCGGGAAGACCCTCCTCATAGGGAATTCTGCTGCCTCCCAGAAGCCTGGATGAGAGATACCACTAGGAAACTTCCTAGCTTAGTGCAGCCCTCGGACTACTAACCGTTACTGCTCTTCCACATGGGTGGGAACGAAGTTGCAGTATGTAGCCCAAGGGTGATCAAAAGAGACTTCATGGCCTTGGGGCAGCTAGTGAGGGAATCTGGGGCACAGGTCATTTTTTCCTCACTCCTTCTGGTTGCGGATGGTGGCATTGCAAGGAACAGGCGGACACAATCTATTAATACATGGCTCCGTGGCTGGTGTCACTGACACAAATTTGGCTTTTTTGACAATGGGATGGCCTACACAGCACCAGGCTTGCTGGCGTCAAATGGGAGCCACCTTTCTCAAAGGGGAAAGAGGGTCTTTGCTCAGGAGCTTGGAGAGTTTATTGGCAGGGCTTTAAACTAGATGTGAAGGGACAGAGGGAACATATCGGGCTTGCTGGTGACAAACTGTGGGGTGATACGTAATGATTGGAGGGATGGGAAGCTAGTACTGGCCTTCAGCCTGTTGCCCAGAGGTGTGCTGGGGACACTGCAGCACAGCCAAAGTCTTGCAGAGATGAGCTGGGAGCCCCCAAGGTGGTAGGTGCTAACAAGGAAGCTTCTGTGAAAAACCTCAAGGGAAACAAGGGGTGTTCGTCTGTGAAGGTGACATGGCCAACAGCCCAGATGAAGTGCCTCTACACAAACACACACAGCATGGGAAACAAACAGGAAGAGCTGGAAGCTACCGTGTTGCTAGAAAGCCACAATCTGATTGCCCTTATTGAAACTTGGTGGGACGAATCCCATGACTGAAGGGTGGCTGTCAATGGCTACAGGATGTTTAGAAGAGACAGGAGGGGCAAGAGGGGTGGAGACATTGCCCTCTACATCAAGAAAAGAATACAGTGTGAAGAGCTGTTCCTGAAGAATACTCACGACCAGGTCAAAAGCCTATGGGTAGGAATCAGAGACAGGAGCAACAAAGGGAATCTGGTTGTGGGTGTCTACTGTAGGCCGTCTGATCAAGGAGAGCCTATTGACCAAGCCTGCTTCCTCCAGCTCCAGAAGGCTTCACACTTGCAGTCTCTCGTCCTGCTGGGGGATTTCAACCAGACTGACCTCTACTGGAAAAGTAGCACGGTGAGGGGCAGACAATCCAGGAGAATCCTAGAATGCATTGAGAAACACTTTCTCTGCCAGGTAATTGACACCCCTACCCAAGCGGATGCAATACTGGACCTGACGCTCAGTGCAAGTGAGCTCATCAGTGGCGTCAAGACTGGAGACAGCCTGGGCTGCAGTGTTCATGCACTGGTGGAGTTCACACTCCTGAGGTATATGGGAAAGGCAAGGAGTATAGACAAGAATCTAAAGTTTAGGAAAGCCAACTTCAGTTTTTTCAAGGAGCTAACCAGTAGGACAGCCCCGGAATTGGTCCTCAGGGACAGGGGAGCAGAACAGAGCTGGCAGACCTTTAAGGATGCTTTCCATAGACTGCAGGAGCTCTCAGTCCCCAGGTGTAAGAAGTCAGGCAAAGAAGAGACTGACACAGCTGACTCAAGACATGCTGGTAAAACTGAAGGGCAAGCAGGAACTGAAAAGGCAGTGGAAGCAGACAGGTATCTTGGGAACAGTACAGGGATGCTGACCAGTTATGTAGGGATGGGGTCAGGAGGGCCAAGGCACAGCTGGAGCTGAATTTGAAAAGGGATACAAAGAGTAAAAATAAAGGCTTCTACAGGTATGTCAGCCAGAAAAGGAAGGTTAAAGCAAGCGTACCCGCCCTGAGGAACATGTATGGCACCCTCGTATCAACAGATGAGGAGAAGGCTGACGTACTCAACAACATTTTTGCCTCAGTCTTCACTGGCAACCTCTCTCCTCTTCCCTCCCCAGCTGATGGACCACAAGATGCAGACCAGAGGGGCAAAGCCCCTCCCACTGTAAAGAAAGACCAGGTTTGGGACTACCTGAGGAACCTGAACATATATAAGTCCATGAGACCTGATGAGAAGCATCCCAGAGTCATGAGGGAATTAGCTGATTTAACTACCAAGACACTCCCCATAATATTTGAAAGGTTGTGACAGTCAGGCGAAGTCCCTGGTGACTGGAGGAAGGGAAACATTGTGCCCATTTTTTAAAAGGGTAGAAAAGAGGACCCTGGGAACTACGGACCTGTCAGACTCACCTCTGTGCCTGCGAAGATCATGGAACAGGTCTTCCTAGAAACTATGCTAAGGCACACGGAGACCAGGGAGGTGATTCGAGAGAGCCAGCACAACTTCACCAAGGACAAGTCCTTCCTGACTAACCTAGTGGCTTTCTTTGATGGAGTGACTCGATCAGTGGACAAGGTAAGAGCTACAGATGTGATCTACCTGGACTTCTGTGAGGCCTCTGACACACTCCCTCACAACATCTTTCTCTTCAAATTGGAGAAATGTGGATTTGATGGGTGGACTGTTCGGTGGCTAAGGAATTGGCTCTGGTCACAGCTAGAGGGTAGTGGTCAACGGCTCGAGGTCCAAATGGACGCCAGTGACAGGTGGTGTCCCTCAAGGGTCCGTACTAGGACCGGTGCTCTTTAACATTTACATCAACAACTTAAACAGTGAGATCGAGTCAAATAATTTTAAATAAACTTTAGAGAGTATTTTAAGAATGGCTTCTTCTCCTTTTGGAAACAAAAAAATTCCCAAATTGTAAGTGCATGAGGAGAAAATTACTGTTACATTACATTCTGCTTTTTCTTCTTTCATATTTTAATAAACTCAGAAACTTACAGTCATATCTACTTCAGCTGTAGTAAAGTCTGCTTAGAGTGGACCATAAAAATTGTTGCATCAGTAGTTAGGTGTGATTGATTGGAGGTGTTCCTGGTAAAGCACTGTTGAAATTTTGTAGATTGTTGTGGGAGGATCTTTTGTTTCTAATTATTGCTGAAGAAAATGGAGTGTTTAAAAGGACAAATAATTCTTGTGTAGGGATTGGGAGTTGATGATATATTGGACTGCAGCAGAACTGAGAGTTTAACAAGTTATAGTTATAGGAAGCGTACGTTTGACGTTGAAAGCTTTATCTGTTGATCAAATGGTTTGGGGGAAAAAGGGAAGATACTGACCACACAAAACAAAGGAGAGCGAATATGAGCCTATGGGCGTGATTTTGCAAGTGCTAATTGGATATTTAGGTTTTAAAACAAGTGAGACATAGTATTTCAAAATGTTATGTGGTTTTACAGATGATGATAAAGAATTTCTTTTTTATTAATATGTTGTATGTATGTCATAAGCATCCTCAGCATTGTCTAGTGGAAACTAACTATCGTTTCCTACATTAAGTTTGCTTGTATTGTTTTTCAATTTGATTGAGCGCTCTGCGCATATATTTTAACGTCATGTGCTACAATCATTTGTGTGTGGATTAAGACATGACAAGATACAGGCATGTTAAGGGAGGCTATTGATCAACTATCAGTCAATCAATCAGTCAGCCAGGCTATCTTTCAAAGAACAGCAGGGATAAAAGGCTGGCAAAGCACAGGTGTTAGCAAATATACATTCTCTAATCAGAGTATTCTTTACCTCAGTGCAGGACTGTAGGACAAACTGGTGTCCTGACTTACTAAATTAATGTATATTACTTAGGTAAAATCAGGGGTTTGTTCCCTAATTATTCCAGCTAACTTCCATGGTGTTGAATGAAAAATAATTGTTGTTAAATTCCAAGAAGGAATTTTGAGATATTGTTACTCAGATACCCATCTCTCATTTTGAGACTTGGTTTGCTTGATTATTTGTAATAACACATATCTCTGTCTTGCAAACAACTGTGAAAGTATTTTTAAATTTCAGTACTGGGAAAAAAGACTAACGATGCTGTAAATATCCTTTCAGTTTAAAAAAAAAAAAAAGAAAACAAAAAGAGAAAACCCAACACTTTAATTTTTTAATCAGTGTACACAGAAGAGAGAATCAAATATATCAAAAATATCGAAAAGATATTGGTAGAAAACTTTTTCACACCTCAAACACAGACGATAATTGCTACTGTGTCTGATATTTTGCGCTTTGAAAGACGTTTCTTCAAAACCTTAGTCGTGAATGTCCATATGACTCCAACTCACTCAACAGTGTTGCTAAGCGAATTCTTGTCTTGGTTTGTTTATTTGGACTGCAACAGCATGCAATTAGACATTACCAAGCATTAGAAATGCATTGTAAATCACACTGCTTTTTGTACTGACATTTGTTGGTGTGATAAAGATCAGTGTAAACTAAATTCCTAAGGAATGATGGCTTGTGCTCTTATTTATGAAGTTTCAGATTTTGTGAATTAATCTGATTATTACAGCAAAAACAAGTTATAAGAACTGTTCCTTGGCCTATAAGAAGTAATTCATACTCCAGTTTTCCCTTTTTTCCCTTTTGAAAAGGTAATCTTGAATCAAAAAAACAGAAGAGGCATAAAGAGGACTTATCATATTAAATGAATGACCTCAAGGAAGAACTTCTTCACTCTGAGGGTGACGGAGCCCTGGAAGCAGTTGCCCAGAGAGGTTGTGGAGTCTCCTTCTCTGGAGATATTCAAGACCCACCTGGATGCGGTCCTGTGCAGCCTGCTGTAGGTGACCCTGCTTCGGCAGAAGGGTTGGACTAGATGACCCACAGAGGTCCCTTCCAACCCCTACCATTCTGTGATTCAATGGGTATCTTATTTAAGTGGATGAAAATGATAAAACCAAAACCAAGTTGCAAAGTCAATACAAAAAGCATTTAAAGATCATCCAGAATACTAACTATGGAATCTAGTAAATGCTGGTCGTCTGTATTGTTACTATAGTTCCTATTATTTTTATTAGAGACAGTATCAACAACTTTATGTGTAACAGTTTTAGTCTTTAAAATTGCTGTCTAAACTTGTATTTCTTGCAAATGATCAACATGTTAATGTTAACATTTGTTAATGGATACCATCTCTTTTGTTACCGTAGATAAAGGCAGAGAGAAATATTTATCTTTTCTCTTCCACAACCAATAAATAAATTTACTAAGTGTATTACATTTACACTTCCAAAGCATCTGTATTAAAAAGCAATAAAAAAAACCAGTTCCTCTGTAAGAAACAGAACAAATTAAGCCTAGTTTTCTGCATGTATTTTGGAGTATTTTTATTTGGGTTTTTTTGTCAAAATCTGCTGCAATATACACATGACACTCCCAAATATGGTAATCTCTGTACTCCACTATAACTCCATACTGAAGTACTATCCAGTTACCCCCTTCTAATAATTTATTAATATTTCCCCTCCACACCACAGTATTTCAGTCTCTTTTAAAAGAGTTTCTCTCTTTCCTTTCATTTTCTCAAGCTTTGGTGATATTTCTATTTACTTTACATGGTCCTCCAATTTAAAGGAACTTCTAATCCTTCTGCTTCTCATTCTAGTATCTCCATAATTTTTGTCATGGTCAGAGACCTATACCTCATCCCAGTACTCTGGTTATTCTACATCTTGTCAGCGTGAGCAACCGCTGTCTAAATTATGTATGTGCCTTTCTGCCCATGAAGAGATTTTGGCAACTGATCTTCCCAATGTTTTGGGACATGCATCCATTTTTCAAACAGATGAACTCTAGGAGTTATTTTAAATGGTTGAAAAGAAAAATCCCGGGATTACTGCAGGAGCATGGTCTATCATAAGTCTCTCAGCCAACAGGAAAATGGGCTAATAAATAAGGGTCAAAGGAATATCAACCATGTGATCTTGCTTAAAAAAAAAAAACAAACAAAACAGAACCAAAAAAACACCAACCAACCGAACAAACTTAAAGGACAGAGGCATTTTGGAGAAGCTAATCTATATTAAAAACTAAGGCTTTGGATGACAGAGAAGAATTCTGGATGAGATTTAGAGCCGTTGAACTCCATATTTTCTAAAACTTAACAAAGAAATTCTGTGCTTTCAATACGAACAGAACATGCTAAGCCAAGTGGATTTTTTTTCGTCAGGAATTGAAAGGAATTTCTTATTCAGATCATTATGCCTTCTAAATAATGTGAACTAGGCAGATGCAGCAAACTTCTCTTGTGCAGTTCACAGTGTGGCAGTTCAGCTTTGGGAGACTATGTGCATCAAGTACAGGTGTAAATGTCATTATCTCTGACGAGTACTTGATTCATTGCACCCCAGTGTAAAGTGTTTATTTTTCAACCTTATAATAAAAGAACACCATCTGCAGATCCAAACAAACAGGATGAAAAAAACCCCGTCTCTGAAGGATTGGTATGTTGGGCCACTGCTTTGATCTCTAGGGATTTCAGTTGCCAGAAGCAGGAATGATATGTGAATCAACAAATAATATTTGGCATTGGAGTACAACTCTTGTCTGTCCATCTGATAGAATGTGATTTTTCTTCAGGCTCAAAGGACATCTTTTTTTTTATATTTCAGATACAATATGCTTGTATTTATCTGAGGACTGTAAAAGTGAGTTTAAACCTTGCCTAGTCTGAAGAAGTTGGTTTTGCTCAGAGAAATATCTGGGTCATTCTTACCTACATGCTTATAGATAGTTGAAAAGCCAGATTTTAATCATCAACTTGACAAAGGTTAATGATCAAAAAGATTTTGTAAATTGTATCTTTGACTATTTTTATCAGCTTCTGCCTTTTTTTTTTTCTTCTCCCCCCAGCATGAAAAGAGGTATTTGGAGATTTAATTTTCTTTTTCTCTATGGCTGCCGTGCTCCAGTTTTGTCTATTTTACACTAAACCTTGCCATACAATAGATGTTAGATGTCTCTTGTGAGTATACAAGATCTGTCAAAGCCACCCTAATTTGCAAGATACCAAAATATTTGACTGCTTATATTAAAAAACAACTTGACAAATAACATACTTCTGTATTATATCCTTACATACTTTATAATTGAATTTCACAGTAGTAATTACTCTTTCCTATTTAGCTAACTGGAACCAAAGCACTTGAGAGAAAATTGCCTTTCTAAAAATTTGAATTCTTGAGTATCATATTAAAAAATCAACACATACAGAAACATCCTTTATCCCACTCATTGCTTTCATGTTCTTGTGTAAGGAAATCTCTTAAACAGGAATCTCAGCACTTTGTGTCAGGCAAGTTTTCTGGCTGCTGTATCAATAACAATCGGAAAAGAGGATCTTGTGTCTGCTTGAGATGAGTATGCTCTTCTCCATCTCACACAAAAATGTTCTACCAGTCATGAAAAATAATACCTTTCAGAAATTTAACTGGAACTTTCACCTCTCCCTTCCTCCACTTTTTTTTTTTTGTGATGAATATCAATTTCTAACACACATCTCTAGGTCTTAC